TTTAGTGTAGACTGAATTTGCTACTCCAGTCAATTGTGATACTTCCAAGCTTGTGAACAATTTTGATTGTCGACCTCCGAGTATCAAAATCCTTCCCATAATTAGAGTCGGCAAAGCTATGATACATCAAATTTCCATGTTGCTTGAAGTGCATACTCCAATTCATTATTCACTTCAAACAACGCAAAATTGACTTTGCAACAGTGTAATGAATCTCTTGGAGATGCTGTGTGTCGATATATGCAGCATCTCATATATATACACATGCATATATCGACACACAGTATACCTACAAAGCTAATATCGCAAAAGTGATCCAATCAATGACCTATATAATGTAGCATCAACTGCTGATGTTATAGTATGACGTTGTAAGTGCAATCTAAGAGCCATTGGAAGATGAACTTTGTTACATTTTTCTAAATTAAATTTTGCCAGAAGTTTTGAATGAAATTTTGTTGATGCAATTAGATTTTTATCTCTGTTTGTTTTAATGTTGATCCTAAGTACAGCTTTTCATCATCAAAAATTGTCATATCGAATGAAACATTAAAAATACTTGTGATCATGTTACTTGTTTTCACAATTATCTCCAACATGCAAGAAATCATCAACATAGAGTAGCACAATTGCACACTTGCTATCAAGAAATGAGTAGTACATAGTACTCTTAGTTCTACTTTTTTTCACTCCATAATGTGTCCATAAAGGAATATTGATTTTTTCATACCAGAACTTTTATTCTTGTCTAAGATCATAGAGAGCTTTTAGAAGTTTACACACTATTTTGTTGAGACAACTAAAAGCCATCTAGCACATACATGTACACATCTTCATCAAATTTGCCATTTATAAAGTTCGTTTGAACATCAAGCTGAAAAATCTTTCACTTTTTGTTTATAGCTAAGGAAAATATTGTTTGTATCATGGCCATTTTATCACCAAAACAAAGATATCAAAAAAATCAACACCCTCTCATTGTTGATTCCCTCTAGCATCTACCTTGGCTTTAAGCCTCAAAACCTCTCCGGATGCTCCAACTTTGGTGTTATTATCATATTTTGTTGTAATTGTAGTGACTTCAAGAAAATATTGTCAACTATCTCCCATATCCAGTTCTTGTTAATTGATTCAAACTCTTGCATCTCTCCAACCTGCATGTGCCACTGATTGTTAAAATGTGACTGGATCTTCATGTGTTATGAATGTACATAAGTAATCTTTGTATTTAGAGTCTTGAGCACTTTTTCTCATTGGATTACGCTTGGTATGCACCATAATTCTTTTTCGTCGTTCATAAATCTATGAAATTGAAAAAGATTCAACTTCATGTTTAGTTGCTTCAGTTTATATGCTCTCTTCATCAACAAACTCGCTATCATTGCTGTTTTAGTTTTGAAGATTGAACACGTACTTATGTGAGAATGATGTTGAGCTTTATTTAACTTTAATCTATTCATACTGATTTCTAGAAAATGTTGGAAAGATGTATTCTTCACGCGTCTGAGCATTCTTCAATTCAAAAAAAAAGATTCTACTCTCATTGATTATAACATCTCCTATTGATAATAAGTATTTTAGGTTATGGACAATATATTCTATGTGCTTTTCACTCATTGCCATAGGCAACCAACATGCAAGATATTGATTTACTGTCTATTTTCCTACGTTCAATCTTTAGAATATGAACATGAGCTATGCTTCCAAATATTCCAAGATGAAATACATTGGATTTGTTAATATGGAATATGTTAAAACTAGTGTTTTAACACGATTTGCTTTTGTTGAACCAATGTTCATCAAATTGTTGTTGCATTAACAACTTCGATCGACAGAAATTCGAGTAACTGAGCTTTGAATGCCATTATTCAAGACATTTTGATTATCATTTTGTTACGTTGCTATGCAACTCCATTCTGCTAAGGTGTTTAAAATTCTGTTAGAATTCTTGTAATGCCTTCAACATGCAAGTATGTTCCAAACTCCTTGTATATTCTCGCCTTCTCTGTTGGATCTTAAAATCTCGAACTTTTTATTTGTTTGTCTCTCCACCATTGGTTTGAAGATTCAAAATTTGCTGTAGGTTTCATTTTTTGACTTCATGAAATAAACAAACGTTATTCTTGAATAATTGTTAGTAAATGCTACAAAGTATTTAGACTTTCTTTATGAAGGACACAAAAAAAATCCTACTACATCTGTGTAAACAAGTTCTAATTGTTCACTAGCTCTATTTGGTGATGATCTAGGAATTTTTTCTCTTAATTTTTTACGAGCCTAACATGCAAACTTTATGAATATCATGTACTCGAGTCATTTCAAGTATATGATTCTCTTTAGACTTAATACCATAAAAGTTGAATTGACCAAATCTACATATGCCATAAATTTGCGTCTCTTGTTTTTGTCATGCTATTTATTTTACCAACTGATGAGTTAAACATGTATGTAGAGTCCGCTACATTGGTCTCGACTACATGTAGCTATAATTTTCTTGTTAGCCAAGTTGTTCATGATGCAACAATATATTTCTGCAAACAAGATAGCATGATCATTATCTGCATGTTTAATTATTGAAATTAAATTGTTGGTCACATATCGTATGTAGAAAATATTGTTCAGCTTTATTACTCTCTGCTGAAAGGTTAGGTTTCTCACATCCCTCAACTCTAGACTATTCTCCTCCGGCTGCGATCATGATAACTCTCTTTTCAAACTTCATCAAATCTAATGTCTCCTTATTTTTAGTCATGAGGTTAGAAGCACCGCTATCTATATAATATTTGTGTTATGTTGATCAGTCACATTTGCTAATGATACATAAAGGTTTTCTACAACGTCAATGTAGTGTATTTTTTCTTCGTCATGCATGATAAAGTGAATCGACTTGTGTAACTCTCTCTAAGATACTTCTTCAAGATTCCTCTATGAGAAGATAAAAGTAAAATGCCCTTCCTTGACGAACATTCAACAAGTAAGACTTCACGAATACTGACACGAAGCTAATGATATTGTTGGGATTGTCGAGGTGTGCTATTTCCTTCCATGTATAGATGATTACCAAATTGTCCTCCATTTCACTAAGAGTTTTAACCATACTCACGTCTCATTGGTGCACGTTGCCACTGCAAAACTAGAGCTGCATCTTCTTCTCCAAATTGTTGATTTCCCATCTCATGTCGTGTACTTCAATGAGCTATTTGGAGATAGTGTTTTCAAAAGAAGTAAGCTCTTCTAAAGCAACAATGACTTGAATAATTTCCTCGTAATATCATTACTATCCATTCAGGAAGATTGAAACCATTGTCTTGTAAGGTAATGTCTCTTACTTTGACAATAGATTGTTCCTCAACTCTCTTGCTTTCTGGATGTTCTGTGTAACTGATACTCCCTCCATCATCTTGAGTGAGTGTAGCTGTTGGGACAAGAAAAGTATTTGTCCTTGATCACCTGACTGGAAATTCCTCTCCAGCACTTGCCAAACATAATTCTCAAGCACTAAGTCAACATGATCATCACTTATAGACATTGTAATTGTGGCATGTGTTGTGATCTTTATTTTCATCAACTGGATCTTGTTCACAAGTATGCCATTGATTGTAACAAATAAGCTACTCACCATCTTGATTTAGTTTATAGTCACTTCCCAGAGTTCAAACCGTTTAAGCATGGACCGCATCTTCAGTCTTCAAACGGGATAATTGGACTTTCCCACCAACTTGTTGCTCTCTCCTGCAAGCATCATCCTGCTATCTCCATCCATTATAAAGTAATACACATAATGGAAAAAGTAAACTTCACCTTGAAGACTAAGAGTAGAGATCATTATTTTCTATACACTAGTGTACTCGTTACTTGATGTGTCATGTCTTGTCAAAAACACAATGTTCACTGCAAACCAGCCATATGCTCACTCAAACATAAGAGCCGCTACCAAAACAATGTTCATCAAATTAATCCACACGAGCCACTGCCTAAACAATGTTCACTGCGAACTGTTTATTGTCACTTCTTTATATACACTTGACTTGGTTAGGTAACCTCAGCGGCATACTACCTACCACTACCTACTTTGTTTCCTATCTACTACCACATCATATTAGTATTTCTTCTAACACATAACTCAATTCCTCATCCTCTACAGCATTTCGTATGTAAGCAGCCCCTTTCTCCATCTTTTCTCTGAAGCAGCAAACTGTTCTGAGGCAGAGCACGACAACGATGTTAGACTCATTAGAGACACTCGAGCACTGGCCGCTGAAAAACGATCAGACATGCAGACCACTGGCAGGGCGAGCAGGAACATGGTTGGACCTTAGATACATAGATACGTAAATCGAAGTCGAATAAGATCTGACTGTGGCCATTGGGTTGGTGACAGACGTCGGACGAGAAGCAGTTTCACACGACCTGATAACCAACTAGTTTGTATCATAACGTCACGTTAGCCTCCCTGGTCCGTAGACGTCTTGCAACCGTCGCACTATCACTGTATCTGATTGCTGGATGCAGTCAGTGGAGGCAGATGTAGGCCGCCACGAGTCCTGATTCGTGCCTGCTCGTTGCCCCCTAGGCAGTCAGAAGGACGCCCAGACTGTGAGCGAAATAGCAGCTATTTGCGCGTCAGATGTTGGTGACTGGTGCATCGTTCTAGACGAGGCCGACTTCTGTCGCAGGTTCGATCCGAGTTGTTGGAAAGGCATGAGACTGTGACTGGGTGAGCTGAGGTACTTCATCCGGATGCACGTTAAGTGGCTGCACGAGCCTGAGCGTGAGCTCAGGCCCACAAGAAGTGTCAGCAGAACGTCGGCATGGATCTCAGAGCACGAGAGATTCTTACTGTACCTCGGCATGGATCTCAGAGCACGAGAGATTCTTACTATACCTCGGCCTGGTCACTTAAACATGTCGATGTCGATGTCGCCAAACTGCAGACAAGCAGAGACAACGAGCTCTTTGAACACTGCCGTCACCCACACGCGGCCGGACCTCGCTTACATCTTCCGACGTGGAAGGCTGCACGGTGGTCCGAGACTTCTGAATTTAACGGAATTATGCAGGTTGTTGTAGTTTGGATCACAGAGTGGGCGAGCATTATATATTTCATGGCACTGCTGCTGGGTTCAAGTTGCTTTGAGACGTTTTCAGGTGTGGAGAGTTGGTTTTGCAGCTCAAGGTCTCAGAATTTCGGGATCAGACTCCATGGGAGGAGCAACCGTGGCGAAAGAGGAGAATGGTGCCATGGACCAGGCCTGTGCTGGCATGGGGGAATTGGTGATAGAGGACCCTCCTCTGATAGATTTGAGCGGTCTCGACGGCCCGGAGCGAAGAAAAATTGGCAATGAGATCGATGAAGCTTGCAAGAAGTGGGGCTTTTTCCAGATAATCAATCACGGATTCGATTCGTCGTTGATGAGCAAGGCGAAGATGCTGGCTAAGGAGTTCTTCAAGCAGCCCGAGGAACAGAAGCTCAAGTTCAGAGTGACGGAAGAGGTTTTCGAGGGATACTGCTGCTCCAAGCTCCGCGACTCCGTCGGAAATGTTAAGATCACAGAGTCCACTGAGTTTCTTTTGATGTTCTTGGACATCCAAGATATAAAGAAACAGCAGAAATACTGGCCTGACAGTCCTCCAGGTTTCAGGTATATTTGTTCGAAATTGTCTATTCTCTCTTCGTCATCAAGCTCTGAGTATGCACTTAGTTGCGTACAGCTGCGGGTGCTCTGGTTCCAGCATCAAATGTGCTTGGGTGCTGATTTTGGTCTCAGTATATTGGTCAGTTTTTTAAAGGCCTTCTGGAATTTCTCCTGCCCATTTTAGAAACATTCACATTTCATTGTGCTCAAAGTACGTAAGATTCTTTATCGCCATTTTGTTCGTCAAACCACAGACTGTCAAGACTCGCGTCAGCTTCAAATTATTTACCAGTGGTAAAAGCATCAGAAAAGCGTGCTTTCTCCGTTGATTCCTTTCGACATAGCATCCTTTAGGGGGATAGAATTATCAGAGTTTTCGTTCCTTGGTAGTTGACCATAGCGTGAAATTTGTGATGATCCGTAAAGTCCGTTTACAAGTCGATTTTATGAAATTTGAATGGCATAGTCTGGAATTTTCGCTTAGCACTGCCTAACCATCAGATATATAGACTAGCTCTGTGTATTACTGATATGATTATTAGTTTTCTTGTCGCATATTTCGACCTTGAGCTTCGATGCTCTTCCAGGCACTTGACCCCTGCATTGACCTGCGATGGAGGCAACCGGGTCTGTGTTCTTCAAATCCATTGATTGGACACTAATATTAGACCTTCAAATCATAACATAATAGAATGAACGCCAATTTAGGTCGTATACTACCACACGTTGTTTTCTGGACCTCACATTCCACACATTACATCTGACATTCTTAGATGTTCAGATTTATGTGCAAGATTGTCAGTTGTTTCACATTCAGAGCCATACTTTCTATGGGCAAGGATTTTATAACGCAACTCCGAACCTGAAGTTTTGCAACTGATCATCTTCTTCTTGAACTTTCAGACAAACTATGGAACAATATCTCATTAAGGCGAGAGAGCTCCACGAGAAACTTTTGGCTTTGATATCGGAGACAATTGGTCTCGAGCCAGATGCACTGAGGAAAGCCAGTGAAGGATCCGCTGGACCTGTCCGAACAGCAGCACGAATGAACTACTACCAACCTTGGAGCAGCGAGGATGAGCCAGCAAAGGAAAGGGCTCTGGCCTCTCACACCGATGCAGGAACAGTTCTTACAATGCTTTACTCAGACGAGGTGGCAGGGCTTCAGATTAAGAAGGATGGCCGGTGGGTGAAAATTGAGCCCATCACCGACGCGTTCATCGTAAATCTGGGTGACCAGTTGGAGGTATGAAATCTGGACAAAGCTTTACAATGACTCCATTTGTACTCTGAACGAGATATATTCGACACCAATACCCGATCAATCTCCTCCTTTGGCCTAAGTGCAATAAGTACTTACGTTTCGACTGTCGTTCCCACTCAGTTTTCTTCACACTCTCGTGGGTCATGCTCACACTTTGTATCCGTCATGATGACGGTGAAAAGGAAAAGTCATCCGTCTTGACAACATCTTTGTTGCAATCCTACTGAGTATCATCCAGCCTGATCCTCTAGAACAATCACTTAAAGGCATAGGTTGAATTTCTCACCCAAATGCTCTGCCCAACCAAGGAGTTAGCTATGAAGAAATGCCTCACAACTTTCTGACAAATATAAACCAGAGATAAGTCTCAGATGATATAATTTCCAAATGATATACGCCCAATCACTTTCGAACCTCGAGCTCGCCCTCTGCTTGCTACAATATATTCGTGTCCACATTTCGTCGATCTCCCTTTGAATCCCAGTTTGCAGATTCCTTTTTTAACTTCTTCTAAAGAGGTTGTCAAAACTCTGTCATTTCAGTGCCGTGAAGTACATGATGCTGGATTTATTATTTGTCCGCTTGCAGATAATGACCAACGGCAGGTACAAGAGCGTGGAGCACAGAGGGGTGCCTGACAAGACTCGTGAACGCTTGTCCCTGGCTACCGCTTACTACCCCGATAAGCAGTCAGTGATTGGCCCCATACCTGAGCTTATAACTGATTCCAACCCGCAACTCTACAAAGTCTGTAACTTCCGCGACTACGTTGAAACTTTCTACAGAGAGGGCCTCAACGCAAGGCATCAGACGACTTACGCAAAAATAGAATCTCGATGATCTGGATTCTAGAGTTGCTGCACTTTTTATCTGACCTTTCCATTTTTTGATCAGGGGTAAGGGGATAACGCATAAACTAGAGGCCCGATTCGTTTGTTTGTTGAACCTATTTGAGTCCTATGTACTAAAAACTTGTTCGCTTGCTTTACATCCCACCAAAGCGATGAAATACTTATCTAGCTGAACTTAATAAATGAAGGGTATTCAAAAAGTTGTCTGAAGATTTGGACAAAGAATTTCCTTCAGATTGTCACACCATGAAAAAAAATTCTATCTTAACATCTTGCACAGCAAAAGCTTTAGTAAAGATAATAATTAATGTGATGCTTGATGAGAAAGGTCTATTTCTTCTCGAATTTACAACTTGTACGCAAAAGACATAGTAAAACTGTGCATGCACTACATTTCTAAGATAACTGGATTAAGCGTTTGTCATCCATCCTTACTTACAACTTCATATACACTTTAAGGTTGTTCAAGTCAATAGGTGGCAACTAAATAGAGTGTAGGAAACCAAGCCAATTAAAAATCAATGAAATTTATGGCTAAAAATGTAGTTCTTCTCATTTTTATAAGATGCAATAGACATAGTAAAACATTGCATGCACTACATTTCTACGATGATTGGATTAAGGGTTTGTTATCCATCCTTACTTACAGCTTCATATACACTTTAAGTTCGTTCAAGTCATTTAGCTGCAACTAGATGAAGTGTAGAAAACCAAGCCAATTAAAAATATATAACTAAAAATAGAATTAGTACCATACTATAAGTACAATATTATACATTTAATTCTAGATTCACCTTCTTAAGAACGTCGTTGGAATGTACAAATAGATCGCATGAAAATATCGATCCTCATGCTAAATGAAAGTATGATAGAAAATCCAAAAACAAGTTTCATAGACTTTCAAATTTCCAACAAAAATTTGACTTTCATTATCAGTCCTGATCATCCAAAGGGACTAAGACTTGCATATTAATTTAGTTAAAGTCCTCACACTTTAGTAAGGGATAATGAAATCACACAAACCTTCCATTCTAATAAATGATACATAGTAAAATTTTTGAAAGAATGAGGCTTTTGCAAAGGATCTCCTCGTCACTATGTATAAACTCAAGTAACTCCTTGGAATTTGTGAGTTTGAACATTAAAGATTTGTCTATGATGCTTTACTTAACATAACGTTCAAATATTGTAAAGCCATTTTACCTATATCATGTAACAAGTTTCTATCGTCTAGGAGTGTCAAGTTATTATTACCCATGTGTCATATCTTAGAATTTTATATAGAAGACATCTAGTTCAAGATTAAATAAAATTGACTTCATCACAAATGATATTGTTCTCTAGCATGTATAGATTGTTATATTTATGACCTTTTAATATAATATTCTCACCTCCTTCTACCTTTCTAGAGTTAAAATGTGTTTTATTACATCAAACAATACATCTTAATAGCTCCAATATACTCATAAAGACTACAACGTTTGATGATGAATAAAAATGTAATAAATGTGATAATAAAAAATAATGTAGAATCTATAAAACAGCAAGATCATTAATTGAATAGCATAAGACATACTTCAGGAGTCATAGTTCATACTCCTTGAGATCAAATTTTGTGAATCACATTGGCTACATGATGATCATAACCTTTGATCTTCACATGCAGTGCTTCTGAAATTATAGTCCATCATTCCGCAAGTTATTATCCTCGTAATCAAAATTTTTAGTCATATTTTCTAAAGAAGTATCATCATCTTTGATCTTCGCTTAGTAGTACCTCTAATATCATAGTCCATTGTTTAGCAAATCATACTCCTGGTAATCAAACTTTCGAATCATATCTACTAAAGTGTATCATCACCTTTGATCTTCACATGACAGTACTTTTGACATCATAGTCCATTGTCTAGCAAATCATACTCCTTGTTATCAAACTTTGAATCATATTTATTAAAGAAGTATATTCACCTTTGATCTTCACATCGCGGTTTTTTTCAACAAAAATATTCTGGCCATATTTTTCTATTGTCAATTTTCTCTCTAGAGATTTTTCCCCAAATGAATTTATCCTTAGATTCAAAACGCTTGCTATCCTTGTCATTTTATGAATATAATCAACTTCAAATCATATTAAGTTCCACAGTGCAGAAAAAGCATAAAAGAGATGATCACATTATTTTTTGTTGTAAATTTTCAGTGAACAAAGCACTTATGATCTTTTTGTAATTGATTGTTTGACTATTACAATGAAACAACATACATGATTGTGACTGATAAGAGTCATGTAATTAATTAAAATCAGAATGAGCTTTTTATAATCCTTTATATCATGTTAGACATTCTTCAAATCAATGACAAGATCATCAAATGCATACAAGTGATCTTGAAATTTTGTGCTAACATCTTATATTTTGAAACTCCTAGGCATTGTGAAGCCATACAAACTATTTGAGAATATTTTGCAATGAAATTATTGCTCAAGAGACTTAAATATCAGAATACATTTATCATATTCATTCGCTTGATTTGGAATCAAAAATTGTAAGTACAATATGACAATACTCACAACCTGCTTTGTAATATTTCTAGTTTTGTTGTTGTAAGTGAAAAGTGTGAGCCTCAACACATCGCTTAGATCCATGACCTTCAGCTTGTACTTGATTTGTTTATTCTAGAACAAATCATTATCATTGTTGTAGTTGAGTATGTCATATACTGCTCTTTAGGACTTAATGGGCGCCATCTCATTGGATCAAAGATTTGAAGTTATTCCTTCTGTAGTTTGAGCAAATGATATTTTTTTCACTTATTTGTTGCTCTTGGATTTCTCAATTTATTCAAATCACTGTCACCGCCACCTTGAGCTTCTTGTCATTGAAAAATTGCTTGTTGGTTGATAGATATACTCTTCTTGAACCACCTACTCTCAGTTTTACTCTAGGTCCAAACATCTCACAGCAATATTGATTTGAGATGTTTGGACTCATTTCTCCACCAGCTATTTTTGTTACAAGAACTCAGGTTTTCTGTCTTGGTCAAGAAGAGATAGTTATCTCATGAGACTAGAAAAAAAGAACTAAAGCCGTAGCACAACTATCATCAATATCTTGTCATGTCATGCACGTTTGATCCAAAAACAAACAAATCTTGTTGAAGCTGATCACATAAAGAATCACTGAAAACATCAGCGTCCAAGTTAGCATGCAACACAATTACAAATCTGGGTATAAAAATGTATTGCTAAGGGCAAAAGAAAAAAAACTTGTGTTTTATTCATTTAGCATTTTGCTTGCGAGTTATCAATAAAACTAGTGTGTTTGGCTCCAGAATTTCATCATTCATATTCATCATTTGTATACATACTTGAGTTGTTTGACTATATGAATAATAATGTGTGGGTATTGTTGCAAAAAGCTTGACTATAGGGAAGTTTTAACATGGTTTAACATAGTAAATTTTACAAGAATATGAAGTCCTTTGGTAGTACATCTTTCTGCACTTTCCCGTTCAAGTGATACCATTGAGAAAAAAAGATGTCATCAAATGCTTATGATAAAACTATGGACAACCTCATGTATTTGAAAGTATGTTCAAGATGTGATATTCCTCTAGCTATGGGCAAAGTGAGAATGTATATGTCAAATTCAAGGAATATACATTGAGAAGTTGTGAAATGGATTTTCAAGCACCCAAAGAACACTAAGCATTATGATTTAGTGTTTGATGTTTAACAAGACAATGTCAAATCCTTAGTAGAATACATTTGCATCGACTATTGACAAAATCTACATAAGAAAAAAATTACAACTAGGTATGTATTTACACTTGATGATGGATACATAAATTTGAAATTATTTGAAAAAATGCAAAGCTCAATTCACAAAGATACTTAATATGTAGGAACATCATAAACAACAAAGAAAGCTATCTGGTAGACAGTCTTTGTAATAACCCACCAAAGGCTAAAACTGCAGTATGGTGGTAAAAAGATCGAACCCACAGGGACAGAGGCAACACACAGGGTAAAAGTGTCACGTTTAACAGACTTTTGTAGAGTTTGAATTCTCAGGCGACTGTCACTCCCAAAAATACTGCAGTGCTCGACTCGGAGGCTCGACTCGGAGGAGGATCTCGACTCGGAGGATGCTCGGAGGATGCACAGTACAGCGTAGTCACTCAACACACACACACACACACACACACCTGAAACAGGCAAAAGCACAACTCGGAGGTCGGTCAGGACCTCCGCTTCGGATTTCAGGAGGAAAATGTCTCAAAAGTTCACTCAGAGGTTCTGCAGGTAGTGACTCCCACTCCGGCTTTTACTGCCCTTCCGCCAGGAACTAGCGTAGGGTACCCGGACTGGACTTCCCACTTCGGAACGAAGCCTCTTCATACGTCGTGGACGTCACCCTCAACTCACACCAAACGCAGGGAGTGCAGGCCCGACTGAGAACTTAACTGAGACACGATCCAGTAACACACACACAACCTGAATTGCAAACCAAGGCTTACACGAAGTAATAAAACTTCACATTGGCATTCAGGGAAAACCTCCCGTAGGAGTACAATCAGGATATGTCACTCGAAGGAGTAAGGGGGAACTGTTCAAGTATCTAACTAGCAGCCGGCTCTGAGCATCAGAAATCACCCGCAGGTGCAGATCCGCACTACTCAAGTCTCTAACCGGGTACTAGCTCTGAACATTCAGCCGAAGGCCTTCAACTACAACATACGGTAACTTCGCTATGCTGCAGCTTCTCTACGTGGTGCCAGGACCAAAATGCACAAAACACGCCAAGAAAGTGAGTTCTTGATCTGCACTTCCGAAACTGGAAGAGTCCCAAGGCAAAACGCCTTGATCTACTTTATACCCTCAAAGGTCCTAACTAACACTACGCTATCCTATCTACTACTCGCAACACTTGCACGAAACCAAACTACACTACTGCACTCTGCAGATCCGGTGCTGCGCCTCCTGCGCGCCGGACTGCCTCGCTCTCTATCTCTACCCTGCCAATCTTCCAACCGGCTGCGCAACCCCAGGCGTCGGAGGGCCGCAGTCACTTCCGACTCCAAGTGCGCCATAGTGTCGCGCGCACCCGACAAGAAGGATTCTAATTTCCTCGCTACTCGCCGCCGACTCCGACTGTCACCCTCCGTCAATGCCGCCGCCCGAAGCTCGAACTCCCTGAGTGTGATCCTCTCTTGAGCTGCCACCTCCCAATGGGCGTATCCTTTTAGACAGTGAGTCACCCGCGTCGCCAACTCTTC